GATATCTATACCTATCTATATATAATATAATATTCATATATATATATAATATATATATATATATATATATATATTATATATATATATTATATTAAAGGTGTTTGTGTGTAACTAAATATATGTGATGTATATAAATATGTGTATATATGTTTATATCTATTCTATGTATATATATATATATATATATTATATATATTATATATATATATATATATATAATATATATATATATATATATAATATATATATATATATATATTATATATATATATATATATAATATATATATATAATATATATTATATATTATATATATATTATATATATATATATATATATATATATATATATATATATATATATATATATATATATATATATATATATATATATATATATATTATATATATATATATATATATATATATATAATGTAATATATATATATATATATATATATATATATATATATATATATATATATATATATATATATGTGTGTGGTGTGTGGTGTTGTGTGTGTGTGTTGTGTGTGTGTATGTAGTGTGTGTGTATGTATATATATATATATAATATATATATATATATATATATATATATATATAATATATATATATAATATATATATATATTATATATATGTAATAAAAAAGACAGATTTAAGTTTAAAATTTTATGCAAAAAAAAGAAAAGAAAAAAAAAATCCGCAGAAACATACAGAGATACTCACACACATATAAATATTTAAAATACCAATGAAAGGAAGTCATGATATGACGATTTCTCTCTCACAGAAAGATGAAGACATACAAGAGAAGATGCGAGAGAAGGATGCCGAAGCTGTGGAGATGAAAGAGGAAATTGCCTTTTTGAAGGATGCTGTTGGAAAGAAAGACGAGGATTTAGAAACATTAAAGGTGAGAGGAACCTGAGAGCAGAGAATTCCTTAAAATAAGAAAGAATAAAGAGGAGGATTGGAGAGGAAGAGAGGAGAGAGAGAGAGAGAGAGAGAGAGAGAGGAGAGAGAGAGAGAGAGAGAGAGAGAGAGAGAGAGAGAGAGAGAGAGAGAGAGAGAGAGGAGAAGAGGGGTGGAGGGAAAGGAGAGGAGAAAAAAGAAAGAGAGAGAAGAGAGAGAGAGAGAGAGAGAGAGAAGAGAGAGAGAGAGGAGAGAGAGAGAGAGAGAGAGAGAGAGAGAGAGAGAGAGAGAGACGGATGTTGCGGAGTAAGAATGTGAGTGAGCGGGAACGAAAGAATTAGAGAGATGAAGGAACAGAGAGAGAAAGAAAGAGAGATATCATATTCAAATTCATAATATTAAAATCCAGTAGTTGCAAATGTTATCTATTTGACATAAACAGTGATTTTACAATACAGATAAATACAAAATATTATAATAGTACATTCAAGTCCTCCTTTATCTTACATATAAAATCCTAATATAATTGATAGCTTAGATGCTCCTTTAATCCTAAAAGTTTTGTTTTTCCTGCACAGTTGTAGATCACAACAAGCGGCACTGTTGGAGTTGTGGGTAGTAGGGGGAGGACCGGGTTGTGCCACTCCACTGGGGGTTGGTTCTAGTTCATTCAGATTGTTTATATTTGTGTTTATTTATTTAGATATTGTACAGATGCCTCAGCGTCCTTATTGGCTGATGGGTTGCTTCAAGGACTTCCTAGGTGTTCAGTACTCGGGAACAAGACCAACGCAAATTTCAAGCATGGAAAGGAGAAAGAAATTGAGAAGTTAAAAGCCAGTCTCCTGTCAATAAATTCAATATCTCACTCACTATGTCTTTTCTCTCTGACACTTCTTTCTCGATTCACCCCACTCACAGTTACCCTGTTTCCCTCTCTTTCTCTCCCTCTCTCCCACATGACATTTCTCTTCCTCGCTCTCTCACTCCACGGGGACGTGACAGCAACATGGAAGAGGAGCCACAGACACTGATCAAGGTCCCTTTCAGATGAAGCGCCAGGAGGAGCTGCAGAAGGAAGAGGACGACCGAATGGACATCGAGAACAAGGCAACTGACGAGAGGAGAAACTTCAACATAGAGCAGTGCAAGCTAAAGGACAGAATTAAAAAAAAGGATGTGAGTTTCTTTGGTTGCTCACACACGTACGCATGCAAGCATAGACATACTTACCGTTGCCGACACAAATCCCTGGAGTTCGTCGGTCATTGCCCGGCGACATGTAGTTTTGTTTTGTGAAATGTCTCTGCACATAAATGACTTTACAAGCGCTTAATCACACAGGAGTGTTTATTGGCATTAAGCCAGTTGCTTATATTAGTTCTTTATTCATATTAAAGATGAGATTGTCGATATTCTTGTCTGTTAAGTAAATAGTACTGTCATCTGCAAACAGGATGGGTTTTAAATTGGATGAGACCTGTGGCAAGTCATTAATACAATAGAAATAAGAGGGGTCTTAATATGGAACCTTGAGGTACACCATAATTAATTGGGAAGAACAGTAGAATTCTTGACATTTGTGTACACGAATTGTTTTCTGTCAGATAAGTAGCTCTTAAACCAAGCATATGAGGCACCTCGGATTCCATAATGATGGAGCTTGTCTAGTGGGATGTTATGGTCTACCTTATCAAATGCTTTTGTGAAATCAAAAAATATACTACATAAATCTCATTATTATCAAATGAACTTAAAACATCGTTTGTAAAACATTGTAGAGCTGACTCTGTTGATCTTTTCTGTAGAAAACTAAATTGATACTCTGAGAGTATATTGTGTGCATTGCAGAATTCATTTACTCTATTATACATTAGCGTTTCAAGAATTTTACTAAATGCATTTAAAATAGATATGGGACGAAAGTTTTTTTGATCAATAAATGAACCTCCTTTATGGATTGTAGTAACCCTAGCCATTTTGAGTTTATTAGAAAATGTCCCAGTAGACAGCGAGAGATTAAAGAGAGGAGTGATGATTGGATTCAGGCATGGCATGATTTTTTGATAATTTTCATTTGGAAATTATCTTCTGCAGAATTTTCTCATGAGTTTTGAATGGTATTGTATATTTCATTTTCTGTGACAATGGGAAGGGGCCTAAATAAAAGGATGTGAGTTTCATCAAAATCGGCAAGAAAAATCGAAAAAACAAACAAAACAAAACAAAGAAAAAAACACGAAAAAAACAGACTGTCCCCTGAAGGCAGAGGCATTCTCTTCATAAGGAAATAATTTATATTGCAGTAGTTGACAAGAACAATGTTGAAATTTATGTGGGAACGAATGTTCCACTATCTCATGTAACTGTTTACGAATAGTAAAATATGTTCTAGGTACGATAACTTTATATATTTATTTTCTCTGGGGGTATGTGGATGGGCATATTTTATCATCTAAGAATGATTCGTTGTTTATGAAATAATACCCTAACTTAATTTCGATATCAAATTGAATCCAGGTGGATCATATGTTAAATGGTTAATTAGAGTGGTTATGCGACTAATTAAAAATTTCATGGGTGAGAAACTGAAGTAGTTCATTCCTAAACCAGTGAAGGTAGGGTTTTATGTAAACTGGAGTAGGAAGGCTTCCATTTCTTTGGATGCCAGCGTGTCAAGAAAGGGAAAATTGCATTTTGGACTGTACATATCTGCAGTATGAACAACACCATCGTGGGTGAAGTATTTGCCTCGTGTGTATAGCGGAAGGCACAGGTGCAAAGCAAGCAAAGGCCAGCCCTCAGGTGGGTGTGATGTACCCAACACGCCTGACTGAAGAGTGGATAGCCCAGGATCTTCATGGGGGCTGCACAGTGAGGGTGCACTCAAGCTGATAGGGCGAGGCGCAAGCGGAGCCTAGGACCTCTCGTCCAGGATAAGGGCGGCATGGCCTTATTATTCCTCATTATGCATTATTCCTTATTATTCCTTATTATTCACCCATGTTATTCATCAGATCATCAACGGGCAACCACCCGAGGATCCAAACCACGGCCTGGGCACGCGCTAGAAGCCGGTGTACTGGTTGGGTGGGCGTGCGGTAGTGTCCGGGAGAGTCTGTATATATATATATATATATATATATATATATATATATATATATATATATATATATATATATATATATACAGACTCTCCCGGACACTACCGCACGCCCATATATATATATATATATATATATATATATATATATATATATATATATATATATATATATATATATATATATATATATATATATATATATATATATATATATAATATATATATATATATATATATATATATATATTAATATATATATATATATATATATATATATATATATATATATATGCATACAGCTGGCCAGGCAGCAAGACCATAACCAGAGGTAAGGATTGTTTGGGAAGCTACGACTCGTGGCAGAAGATCCAGGCACGTGGTCTGTTTGAGAGCCAGCCTCAACTACGTGGCGCCCGAGGATGAAATCAGCCTTCGAGTCGGCGAGTGCGCATCCCTGTGCGACAATTGTTATTTTGTCTATTATTATTAACGTTATCATCATCATTATAATTGTTATCATTAGTTAAACGTTGATTATTAATTCACGGGTTCAGGAAACGAGGGCTCAAAGACATGGGTAGCGGGAGACAGTAGGACTCTTCCTTATTAAAACATTTTTTGCCTTTCCTTAACCGCGAGCGCCGTCAGCACTTTCGTTGCATACTTGCGAAAGGAGCCAGTGCCTCTGAGCGAAGGACCTTGTGTACTCAGTAGTGGTAGCCATGCTTACTCACTGAGCCGAATCCCATGGGCGATGGACTTATCTATCGCCTTGGGCCCAGGATGGGTGGCCTTTCGTGCATGCCGCTTACGCAAAACCCAAATAGGGAAATGCCCGCCCACACCATAGCAAATTAAGAAAATGCCCGCCCACATCATAGCAAATCAAGAAAATGCCCGCCCACACCACAGCAAATCAAGAAAATGCCCGCCCACATACTGACCAAGCAGTGAAATGCCCGCCTATTCAAATCACACACAGGGAAATGCCCACCAATTCAATATTCAAAAATTCAAAAGGAAAATGACTTATCATACAAAGACTCCACAGGGAATGCCACACAAACCCCAAAACAAAATACGCCCACACAAACCCAAGGGAAATGCGCCCACACAACCCCAAACAGGGAAATGCCCCCACAAACCCAAACAGGGAAATGCGCCCACACAAACCCCAACAGGGAAATGCCGCCCACACAAACCCCAAACAGGGAAATGCCGCCCACACAAACCACCAAACAGGGAAATGCCGCCCACACAAACCCCAACAGGAAATGCCCCCACACAAACCAAACAGGGAATGCGCCCACACAAACCCCAAGCAGGGAAATGCCGCCCACACAAACCCCAAGCAGGGAAATGAAATGCCGCCCACACAAACCCCAACAGGGAAATGCCGCCCACACAAACCCAAACAGGGAAATGCCGCCCACACAAACCCAAACAGGGAAATGCCGCCCACCACAAACCCCAAACAGGGAATGCCGCCACACAAAAAAGCAGGGAAATGCCGCCCACACAAACCCCAAGCAGGGAAAATGCCGCCCACACAAACCCCAAACAGGGAAATGCCGCCCACACAAACCCCAAGCAGGGAAATGCCGCCCACCAAACCCAAACAGGGAAATGCCGCCCACACAAACCCCAAACAGGGAAATGCCGCCCACACAAACCCCAAGCAGGGAAATGCCGCCCACACAAACCCCAAGGGAAATGCCGCCCACACAAACCCCAAGGGAAATGCCGCCACACAACCCAAGCAGGGAATGCCACACAAACCCCAAAACAGGAAATGCCGCCCACACAAACCCAAACAGGGAAATGCCGCCCACACAACCCAAAGCAGGGAAATGCCGCCCACACAAAACCCCCAGGGAAATGCCGCCCACAAACCC